TTAAGGATTTTATTTTTTGAAAATTTCCAAATTCGTTGCAAATGGTGGAGGGTATTAAAAGTTCGGCCTGGCCGAACTTACTGCTTTTTAACTTGTTTTTTTTTTTCAGTTGGTGATATAAGAAATCAGTCTGTCTGTCAACATTCAGAATCCAGCCCTGAAAAATTTATAATAGTCCGTTGAAAAAATCCCTATTTTTATCCATTTTATTACCTATGTAAGTGGACAAATTTTTTCTGTTAAGTTTTCTCATCATCAATGCCGTTCACTTTTTATTTCAACTATCTCTTGGCTTGTTTAAGTCAAGGTGTTTTTTGATATATAGTGTGGCATGACATTTTCGATGACGTTTTTACTGACAATAAATAATATTGAAATTATGTTTTTGGTTTTAATTACAGCAACGGCGTATAAACATTAAATTAAAAAACTAGAGGTGATTGTAGAGACGAATTGTGTGAAAGGAGCCTTAAACAACAATTATTTCGAAACCCTGCAAAACTAATCTGATTACTTCGCTGATTACTTTTCTTTTCTGAATGTGCCCGACTTCTACAAAATTTATTTTTGTATTCAAAGTTCGGCCCGACCGAACTTGCAGCTTTTTTACTATCTTTTTTGTTACCTTAATTTCGAAATGGGTACTGTTTTTGTTATACCCTCCACCATACTATGGAGGGTATATTAACTTTGTCATTCCGTTTGTAACTCCTCGAAATACTCATGTCAGACCCAACAAAGTACATATATTCTTGATCAGCGTAAAATTCTAAGTCGATTTAGCGATGTCCGTCTATCTGTCTGTCTGTCCGCCTGTCTGTCTGTTTGTCTGTCCGTCTGTCTGTCCGTCTGTTTGTTGTAATCGCGCTATCTTTCGAATGAATTGAGATAGATGGCTAAAATTTTGCACACATGTATATTTTTCCTGTAGGCAGGTTAAGTTCGTAAATGGGCCATGTAGGTCCACGTTTTCATATAGCCCCCATATAACGGTACCTCCCTATATTCGGTATTTTAATGATTTTAGGGACATTATTCACCGGAATTGTTTCAAATTTGGTATTAGAAGTTCCAAATGGATACTACACCCTAAGATAGAAAATTGTCTGTGCAAGTCCATGTCTTCGTATAGCCCCCATATAACGGTACCTCCCGATATTCGGTATTTTGATGATATTAGCGACCTTTTTCTCGCAAGTATTTTAAAATTTGGTATTTGAAGTTCAAAATGGATACTACACCCTAAGACAGAAAATTGTCTGTGCAGGTCCACGTCTTCGTATAGCCCACATATAACGGTACCTCCCGATATTCGGTATTTTGATGATTTTAGCGACATTATTCACCGGAATTGTTTCAAAATTGGTATTTGTAGTTCGTAATGAATACTACAGTCTAAGATAGAAAATTGTCTGTGCAGGTCCACGTCTTTGTATAGCCCCCATATAACGGTACCACCCGATATTCGGTATTTTGATTTCAGCGACATTATTCACCGGAATTGTTTCAAAATTGGGAAGTTCGTTATGGGAACTACAGTCTGTGACAGAAATTTGTCTGTGCGGGTCCAGGTCTTCGTATAGGCCCCACATAGCAGTACCTCCACCTCCGATATAACGCTACCTCCCTATATACAATAGTTTGATGATTTTAGCTTTATTATTCACCTTTTATTTCAAGTTTCGAATTTGAATATGGTAATGGCTTATGACACACAATGCCTATGTATGTCCACGTCGTATAGACCCCAATATAACGGCTATATTCGGTATTTTTAAAATTTTAACAAAATTTCTTAAGGATTTTATTTTTTGAAAATTTCCAAATTCGTTGCAAATGGTGGAGGGTATTAAAAGTTCGGCCTGGCCGAACTTACTGCTTTTTAACTTGTTTTTTTTTTTCAGTTGGTGATATAAGAAATCAGTCTGTCTGTCAACATTCAGAATCCAGCCCTGAAAAATTTATAATAGTCCGTTGAAAAAATCCCTATTTTTATCCATTTTATTACCTATGTAAGTGGACAAATTTTTTCTGTTAAGTTTTCTCATCATCAATGCCGTTCACTTTTTATTTCAACTATCTCTTGGCTTGTTTAAGTCAAGGTGTTTTTTGATATATAGTGTGGCATGACATTTTCGATGACGTTTTTACTGACAATAAATAATATTGAAATTATGTTTTTGGTTTTAATTACAGCAACGGCGTATAAACATTAAATTAAAAAACTAGAGGTGATTGTAGAGACGAATTGTGTGAAAGGAGCCTTAAACAACAATTATTTCGAAACCCTGCAAAACTAATCTGATTACTTCGCTGATTACTTTTCTTTTCTGAATGTGCCCGACTTCTACAAAATTTATTTTTGTATTTATTGTTTGGAAAAATAAAAAAATTGAATTTCCAAATCAATATTTAGAAGAAATGTTAGATATAGATATTTAGAGAAAAAGTCAGACATTGCATTTATCTATCACGCTTTTTAATTCATTTTAGAAATAAAAATACTGTAGCCATGTTAAAAACAGGGTATGATTGAAAAATTAATGCAATTTTAATGGACATATGTACTTACGAGGGCTTAATTCAAAAATCAATTTGGAGTATTACAGAGTGAGATGAAGAAACTGAAACGAACTTCAGACTGCTGTCATTTCTAAGCCACTCGTCCGACAGCAGTTAAAATTATTCAGATGATATTGTTAACAAGCGTACAAAAGCAGTTTGTTGAGAATTTTCCAGAATAGTGTCATTTCTTTATATTTGGTTGGAAAACCACAAGTGGCTATCGTTAGAGCACTCCAACATTTAAAAGTGAATACTGGTAGCGTATTCCGACGTCAAGGAAATGAACGAAAGAAAACAGCAACATCAGCAGAAATGTTTCGAAAAGTAAAGAAGCGACTTGATCGAAACTCCCGTCGCAGTGGCCGAAAAATGGCTCGTGAGCTGAACATATCGCAATATTCCATTCGGCAAATATTGAAAGCCATTGAAATTCTAAAAAGTGCAAGAACTTACACCGCAACAGAAAGAAAATAGACGCAAAAGAGCTAATGAGTTGCTTCGCTTGGCCGAAAGTGGTGAACTGCCGAATTTGATTTTCTCCGATGAGAAAACATTCGTTGTCCAGCAGTTTGTCAACAAACAAAATGATCGTGTTTACTTGCCAAAGAGGTCAGCGGAAAATGTGCAACTTCGGTTAGTCACCAGAACTCAAACCCCGGCCATGGTGATGGCGTGGGCCATGGTGATGGTATTAATCGATCGTGGCATCAGAATCAATGCCGAATATTATCGCGAAAATATTCTGGAGGGTGTATTAAAGATTTGGGCTCGCAAACATTTTGGCCGCAGACCTTGGACATTCCAACAAGACTCAGCACGCGCCACCCAAGAATGGTTACATAATGAGGTTCCTCGCTACATTCCCAGCGCACAATGGCCACCAAAATATCCGGTATTGTGGCTATTGTGGCTGAAGTATTTTGGAATGCAAGGTTGGCACTAAAAATACCAAAGTGTCGATTACCTCAAGCAAGTGCTTCGCCGGGAATGGGTCAAAATACCACAGAGCAACATTCGTGCAGCGTGTGACGGGTTCATTGCCCGTTTGCAGGCCGTAATTCATGCCAAAAGTGACCAATTAGAACAAATCTAAACCTATTTTAAAATTTGGTGCTATTTCCGACATTTTTTGCTTTCATTTAATAAAATTTAAGAAAAAAATATAAAAATTATGGCGCTTGACTTTGTTGCAGTTTTTTTTATCTTACCCTGTATATGGGAGCTATAGCTGTATCTGATCCGATTTTCACCAAATTTGAAGTACTTGTTAGACTGAATTCGGTCAGTTGCGACGAAACACATCCTATTTGTACGAATATTTCATAACTGGCGCGCAATAGAATTGAAATCGGACGAAGATATGTATGGGATCTATATCTGAATATGGACAGATTCTCATCAATTTCATTAGAGTTCGTCCTTGCCAAACAAACAAATGATTTGTGGCGATCGGCAATAAGTGCGACCTGTACTTTGTTTAAAAAATACATAGACAGACAAACAGACTGACGGACGGACATACATAAATCGAGCCAGAATGTGATTCTATGCAGATCATCAAAAGGAACTAGGGGTCTATCTCGCTTCCTTCTCTCTGTTACAAAGACATCGTAACCTGACAACAATGTGGTGTAGAACGTTAGAACCATACGTAAAGTTAGTTTCTTCATAGTTATCAAAGGTATTTTTATGCCATACTTATTTACGCTTACCAGAATGTTCGATTTAAAAGAAATGTTTTTTTAGTTAAAATTAATGTATCTAGATATACAAAAAGTATAGAGTAAAAAAATATAGCGCTACTTTTATGCTAAAAATTGTTGGAGGCTCCTCAAAGTATGCTATAAAAACGTTAAATAAAAAATGTGAAAAATCATTTTACATTTGACTCTAACATAGTGTGTAATCGGGTCGAAGAGTACTTCAAGGTTCTAATAAGTACACCATTGTTATTGAGCGTTAGGTAAGAGCTAGACCTTGGAATATTGCATAGGGGTCAATATTTGCACTTTGGGGGTACAAAAAGTAGTAAAAGGTACAAAGTGGTTCAATTCTGTTACTGAAAATCGATAAGAGCTATAGCTACGAAATTTTGAGTGAAGGTCTGTCATGAGTATGATAAGGTGGGATTTTTCGGACATTTAAGATAAAATCGCAAAATAATAATGAATTTATTTTGACCAAATCAGAAGTTTTTTATCTACGCAGGGTTTCTATTCACCTAAAACCTTAATTACCAATTTGGAGAAAAAAGAATTTAAACAAATGGGCTAGAACATAAAAAAAAACTTGAGATCGCGGGTATACCTAAATAGGGGCTCTATGAGAAACGAAAATTTTTTCAAGATTTCAGTTCAAAATCTTATCGGGTTGAATCCAATAATATTCAATCGTAGAAAGAAATGTCGTTATCCTACAATAAAAATAGATTTCCATTAAATTTTTCTATTTACATTTATTGACAAGGTGTATACCGATACACCCCGATAAATTCATGTAAGCCTTACAAAACTAAAAGTGGAAATGTGGCACTACTTATAAAACTAATAACAACAGATTTTGGAGCAATCATACCAGAGCGGGATGCGATATGAAACTAACGATAAGTGGTGTGGTATGATTGTAAGATCACAGTTTGCTTGAGGCGCAGGTTTATTGCCAACCGCCAGCAGAGCCAGCACTGGCATATGAACCAGCGCTGCTGCCACCATAACCACCGGCAGCAGCACCACCATCGGCACTCAAAGCACCAATCACCTTCAGAGATTTCAAAGTCTCAAGTGCATCGTCAAAGCCACCAGCGCCAGCAGCAGAAGAAGCGCCAGCATCAGCAAAATCGCCATAACCGCCAGCAGAATAACCTCCAGCGGAGGTTTCTTCGTGAATAACTTTAATAGTTTGTTCAGCAGCGGCGCTAGCACCGCCGGCCGAGTAACCTCCAGCTGAGTAACCTCCAGCTGAGTAACCCCCAGCCGAAGCACCACCTTGCTCATGGACAACTTGAATGGTCTTGACTTCTTGGGCGGCACCAGCACTGGCACCTCCATATGAGTAACCACCAGCACCGCCAGCAGCGGCACCCTCTTCATGGATAACTTGAATGGTTTTCACTTCTTCAGCGGCGCCATGACCACCAGCGGAGAAACCGCCGGAGTAGCCACCAGCGGAAGCACCGGCTTGTTCATGGACGACTTGAATGGTTTTCACTTCCTCAGCAGCACCATGACCGCCAGCGGAGTAACCACCGGAATAGCCACCAGCAGAAGCACCAGCTTGTTCATGGACAACTTGAATGGTTTTCACTTCTTCAGCAGCGCCATGACCATGACCGCCAGCCGAGAAACCGCCGGAGTAACCACCAGCAGCAGCACCGCCTTGTTCATGGACAATTTTGATGGTTTTGACTTCTTCAGCAGCGCCATGGCCATGACCGCCAGCGGAGTAACCTCCGGAGTAACCACCGGCCGAAGCACCACCTTGTTCATGGACAACTTGGATGGTTTTGACATGTTCAGCACCGCCATGACCGCCAGCACCACCATAGGAATGACCACCGCCTTGTTGTTGTTGTTGATGGATAACTTTGATGGTTTTTACCTCTTGGGCGCCACCGCCAGCAGAGAAGCCTCCATGTTGTTGGTGTTGTTCTTGGTGCACAATTTTAATTGTCTTAACGGCTTGGCCACCAGCAGCGGCTCCACCACCATAAGAATAACCACCACCATGACCACCGGCCTGTTGTTGATGGATAACCTTGACAGTCTTAACCTCTTGGGCGCCACCAAAACCTCCGGCAGAAGCACCACCGCCATAACCACCAGCTTGTTGTTGATGAATAACCTTGATGGTCTTGACAGCAGCACCGCCGGCAGCGGCACCACCACCATAACCGCCTCCATAGCCTCCACCATATCCTCCTTGGGAAGCACCGCCTTGGGCATGGATTACCTTGACAGTGTGAACGGCGGCACCGCCACCATGACCACCGCCATAACCACCTCCATGGCCGCCACCGTGGCCACCGCTGTAACCACCATGACCGCCGCCATGACCACCGCTGTATCCACCGCCACCAGAGCTACCGCCCAGGAAGCCAGCTGAGCATGATGCCACCAAAACTGCTAAAACGCAAACGAAAACCTAAAATTCCACAAAAAAAATGCCAATTAGTTGCCGTAAATACTCCACGTTTCGTCTTCAATCTGATCGACCCACCTTCATGTTAGGAATCTTCTTGCTTGGGTTAAAAAAGTGGAAGATCAAAGGTGATTCCTATGAGTTACTGTCTCCAATTCAAATGAGACTGATGCAGTTTCGTTGGAGTCACTGTCGTTTTATATGAAAATCTAAACTAAAACGATTTCTAAGAAAACTCATCCCCATTCGTGGTGGGCAGCATCTTCGGCGCTGCAGCCGCCAATTTTGGTATCATCCACATTATCTCTAATAACTCTCTTTGGCTTTCATTTTCATTGGCAATGATGGCCAGCTATTTTTGGCAATGCTCATCACCCAAAGGTAAGGTAACCAAAAACACCAAAAAAAAAAAAAAAAAAAAATAATTGGTGTTAGCCGAACAAATCTACATCAATACCTAAAACAACAACAACAACGAATGATTAAGTGGATACCACTTCATCCATTACCTACCTTAAATGAGGGGAAAAACAATAACAATAACCACTTCAAATATTCGAATTTAAATCAGAACTCGTTTTCATCTGCTTTTCGATTTCTTTTGGGGGGAGCTCACTCTGGAGTGCTTCTTCGACCCCCAATTGTCCATTAGAGAGCAGAAGTTGTTAAACAACTTTGATGTTTGGGCTACCTGTGTCAATGCTGGGACCATTTGGAAAATAAACATAATTTTCTCTTTCTGTCTGCTTCAGACATGTTGCACTCATGCCCGCGGGACTTCCCCATGGGCAAACGGAAAACAAGTTATTAGCCAATATCTACGGCTAGCTATTTAAGGTAATTAAAAACATGCCTATATAAATATTTATAACTATTAATAAAGATAAAGGTGTTGAGAGTAGCAGTCTCTCTCGTGTGATTGAGACTTGAGATGAATTATTGAAAACGAAAGGGACACCTGGCAAATGGTTTGAATAGAAAACAAAAGTGAAACGTCACTCATTTTATCTAAGCCTACCAGTTTTTACCTTTCTCTAAAAACAATCTAAATATGATCCAACTCAATACGTATAAAAAGACCTGCTCTTTTCTTTAAAACCTTTCTTTAAAAATGAGGAATGCCACAAATCAGTCGTTGAGTATTTGATAAAGCTGAGAAAAAAAATTAATTTTTCAATAATAAAAGGAAAACCTGTCCCGATTATGAAATTAGAGCTAACAAGTAAAAATGCAGCTACTTTCGGTCGTTCCATAATTTTAATACCCTTCACTATTTGGAAGGATCTTGGATTTCAAAAAAAGCACCGAAAAATACCACTTAACTGAAAACCGGGGGCTATGCGAAGACGTATACCTGCACAAGTAATTTTCTGTCATAGGCTGTAGTAACGACTCCGAACTTCAAATACGAAATTTGAAACTATTCCGTTAAATAATGTCGCTAATATTATCAAATTTGAAACAATTCCGGTGAATAATGTTGCCAACATCATCAAAATACCGAATATAGGGAGGTACCTTTATATGTGGGCTATACGAAGTCGTGGACCTGCATATACACTTTTCCGTCATAGGTTGTGATACTTTTTAGCTTTAATTTTAAATACGAAATTTGAAACATTTCCGGTCAAAAATGTCGCTAAAATTATCAAATAACGAATATCGGGGGTACCGTTATATGGCATCCTGATATCGTGGACAATTCTTTTATCGGGGGTATCGGTATATGGAGGATATAAGATATCGTGGACTTCGTATCGACAATTAGCTTCCAGGGGATAAAGTACTCACAAACAACTCCTTGCAAAGAATTTCAGCCAATTCCCTTGAAAAATGTTTCTAAAATCAACAAAATACCGAATATCGGGAGGTACCGTTATATGAGGAATATACGATTTCTTGGACCTACATAGACAATTCTTCTCCAGGGGCAAACTACTCAAAAGGAACTCCTTGTGTGGATTTTCAGACAATTCCATTGAACAATTTGACTACAATCATCAAAATACCGAATATCTGGAGGTTTCATTATATGGAGGATGTAAGATATCATGGACCTCGTATTGACAATTCTCTTCCAGAGGGTAAAGTACCCACAAAGAACTTCTTGTGTAGAATTTCAGACAATTTCATTGAAAAATATTGCTTAAATCATCAAAATACCGAATCTATCGTGGACCCATATAGCCCATCTTCAAACTTGACCTACCTGCCCACAAAATACTAATATCTGCAACATTTTAGCTTCCCATCTTAATTCGTTTTGGCTCTAGACGTTTCACGGACAGGGACAGGACAGAGGGACGGGCAGGGCTAAATCGTCTTAGAATTTTATGTTGATCAAGAATATATATGTTTTCTTGGGCCGAAAATTATGATTTCGATGAGTTATAAGCGGAATGACGAATTTAATATACCCTCCGTACCATGTATGGTGGAGAGAATAAAAATGGGAGATACGTGTATGTGCACTTTGAAAGTTTACATCGCACAGTTACCTTAATGGAGGGGGCAAGTTCTACACTCTTCTACATTTATAGAAATTTTCGGACTAAGTCTTCGGCAATATACAGGGTGAGATAAAAAAACTTCAACAAAGTCGAACGCCATAATTTTTACATTTTTTGTTTAAATTTTATTAAATGAAAGCAAAAAATGTCGGAAATAGCATCAAATTTAAGTTTAGATTTGTTCGAATTGGTCACCTTTGGTACGAATTATGTCCTTCAAACAGCCAATGAAACCGTCACACGCAGCCCGAATGTTGCTCTGCGGTATTTTGGCCCATTCCCGGCGAAGTGCTTGCTTGATGTGATCGACACTTTGGTATTTTCTAGTGCCAACCTTGCTTTCCAAAATACTCCAGACACAATAGCCCAACGGATTGGTATCCGGAAATTTTGGTGGCCATTGTGCGCTGGAAATGAAGCGAGGAACCTCATTTTGTAACTATTCTGAGTGCGATGGTGCTGAATCCTGTTGCAATGTCCAAGGTCTGCGGTCAAAATGTTTGCGTGCCCAAGGCTTTAATACACCCTCCAGAATGATATTCGGCATTTATTCTGATTCTGTTATGGCGGCCCATACCATCACCATGGCCGGCACTTGAATTCTGGTGGCCAATCGATGGTGCACATTTTCAGCTGACTTCTTTGGCAAGTAAGCACGATAATTTTGTTTGTTTACAAACTGCTGGACAACGAATGTTTTCTCATAGGAGAAAACCAAATTCGGCAGTTCACCACCTTCGGCTAAGCGAAGCAACTCTTTAGCTCTTTTGAGTGCATTTTCTTTCTGTTGCGGTGTAAGTTCTTGCACTTCTTGAAATTTCAATGGCTTTACCTCGAGCTCATTTTTTCAATATTTGCCGAATGGAATATTGCGATATGTTCAGCTCAGCCCTCCATTTCAAGGTGGAGGGTATAAAAATATTCCATTTTTATTGGGACCCTGTCTCGAAAGTTTGAAAAAATGCGTCCACTATATGTATGGACCTTCATACTTGTCATACTTTAACTTCTTCGGGGGAGTTAAATGATGTAGTGGACAAATGGGCATTGTTAAGTTTTGCTCCTGTTCTTAGTGCTATAGGAAATTACGATGTGACAGGTTTCGGCAATATGTTAGAGTTCAAGACAGGGCAAAAAAAAATCGAACATTTATTTCCAATCTACGAATAACCTTTATGGTTAAATTCCAATTTTACATCTGAATGAGAGAAATATTTAGACATAATCGATGATATTTAGAAAAGCTGATTTATTTCGGAAGTTATGAGAAATATAATTATTGAAAAGTGTAATCGTTTATGGGTGGGGTACCAGAAGGCTTGGACCGATTTCTATCATTTTCACACCAGTTATTGAGTTCGTAGAAATATTAGTATGCGTTCCATTTTAAGATAATCGGATGCTTAATTCGCATTTTATGAGCTTTCTTTTATTCAAAATGTTGACCCTTTGTGGGTGAGATACCAGAAAGAGTGGACCGCTATACCCCACTTTCACACCAGACCTTGTGTTAATAAAAATATTGGGATGCATGAAATTTGAAGAGAATCAAATGTTTATGTTGCGTTTTATTAGAGATGAAATTATTCAAAAGTTTCACCCGTTGTGGGTGAGGTACCAGAAGGAGTGGTCCAATATATTATATCTTCACAACTCATTTTGTGTTGATAGCATTATTGGCACGGACCGAGTTTGAAATGTACCGCATTCTCGTTTTGCGTTTTTGAGCTTCATAGCTATTTAAAATGTTAACCCTTTGTGGAGGTGGTACCAAAAGGAGTAGATAATGGAATATATCATCCCAGAGAGCAATTAGAAATATTGGGATATACAATTCTAGATAATTGGACCCTTAATTAACATTTTATAAGCGTTGAGATTATTCAAAATTTTGACCCTTGATGATGGAGGTACTAGAAGGGTTGAGTCTATGTATACTAGGATCCTTTCTTCTTCTGTGGGGTAAATTATTTTTCTGTGAAAATGATTATTTCTTTAAGAAGAAATGGACCGATTTGTCCTCTCCGAATTCGTTCTAACTTTGATAATTATATTAGGATGTACCAAGTTTGTATCAAATCCGGTACTACCTTCGAGAGTTATCCGCACATCAGCTTGCCAGATAGACGGCAGGATAAATGTCCTGAAGCGGATTTGATTTCGATGAGTATTTTTGGTTGGCCTTAGTTAACGGAAGCTGTTAAAACTTATCCCAAACCGCTAAACTCTCATACAACACAAATTTAATGTATCTCAATACCGTTGCTGCAACGGAAATAGGTCTTAGAGTATTTGCCTTTGAGTGGTGTCATATTCAAATCGGTGTTCGACACACAAATTGTCTTCTTCAGTAGGTTCTCTTCATGAATTTTGTCCATAGCGGCAAAAAGATTCGCAGTGGTTATACGCTTTCATCCCAAAAATTCAAGATGCTTCCGTTGTTTGCTTTAGACTCAATGAACGATACTTTCCCATTCAAAGTATTTTCAAGGTTACTTTTTATCTCACTGCGAAGGTCAAAAACAGTCGAACATATCGTCTAACATTTGTCTATTTTAAGTTCAACTATTTCAACTACTGCAAATAGTTACTACACCATGTGTTTTACTCATTTTCTCCTCTAATAACTTAATTGGCCAAACTATCTGCAACGTCCAGCCTACCATCATCTGTTAA